TAAACAATAAAGAAATACATCTACTGGGGGAGTGGGGGTGCTCATTGGCAGGCCAGACTGAAGTCACCCATGGGCTGAATGTTGCCCACGGGCCACCAGTTGCCCATCCCTGCCACCTATTTGGGTGTTAATAGCTTTCATTTGACTTGTGTTTTAGGCAGTTTCTTTCACATCAATCGCAGCGTTTGACTCCAGATTCCACTTGTTTCTCACATCGTTTTGTTTTCCATCTAGACGTTTTAACAACTTCCTCGTCAAACAGGAAGCTTCTCTTTTACAAGCTTCCTGTTGTGTTTTGGTCCAGTTAGACCCAGCAACATTATTTTATCTGAATCTGACTCTGTGTTGGTTTAAAACCGGAAATTATAAAATGATTCCATGTTTTCTTTGAAACTGAATGATTCAATCATTCATTTCTCTGTTTGATAAAAAAGAAAAGCAGTTGTGTTTAACTTCAGCAGTTATATTTCTTTTCTTTTGTTATTGTTCCTTAATGCCAGAATGTTCACATTTTGAAAAATAATAGTTTTGTGTCAGTTATTTATTTTTTAAACAAAATAAAACAATTTGAAAGATCATTTCAAGAGTGGTTATTCAATAATATTTTGTTGTAATCTTTTTTGTTATTGTTTGCACATTTCCATCCATCAGAAAAAAATCATTTTTTTCAACGTTCTTCAGTTGCACTGCCTCTGCTTTAATTTGTACTAATCAATTGGCTTGCTTTAAACATTTTTAAATTTGAACCTGTCTGCTGCTGTGTTAAAACCACTTTCCCTCAGTGGATTGATAAAATGTCTCTTTGCCAGTGGCGTCACTAGGCTTATTTTAGGGGGGCTGGAGCCCCCCTAAAACATTTTAAAGCTCCCCTAAATTATTTTGGTGTAAACATTTATTTATTTTTTTTACAAAAATTCAATATAATGTGGTCAGAATAAATAACCATTTAATATTTTGTTATTGACTAAAATATATGATCACAAATCTGTCAGTTTCCCTTTAATTTATAGTGTAAAA